TCTTTAAAAAAATAGAGGAATAGTCTGAGAAAGTAGGTGGGGGCTTTAATTGTGCAGATAACAGGGATGTTGTGATAATATTGAAAGAATTGTTGGTTGGTGAAATCCATGTACTTTAGTTTCTAATTATGCAGTCGCCCATGTATGCTGAGGCTTCAGCATACAGGTCGGACCAGTACTGTCTTAATAATTTCTCTCCAGCCAAAACTGGGGCAGAGGACCATGTTTTTCTGAGAGGCAATAACAGAATCATTCAGATGGTCTTTGTACCTTGGCTCAAGATTGCTGTCTTATTTAGTCCTGAACGGTAGATTTTCTTTCAAATTACATTGTTGTAAGGACAAATGGGTTACTAAAATATAAACAAAACGCAAGAGTTTGAAAGGGAACCTGCTGATTAAAATGTGCTGAGAACTAATGAGCGGAGGTAGAGTGACTACATTCATATTCCTCTGCTCGACTGGAAATGACTAAAGTGGAGGAAACAAAATAGCTGCAACATGTAAAACATTTCCAAGAAGATCTTCACTGAGAATAAAAAGCTATTGATGAAAAACTAACAGCAGTGGTGTCTCCCAAACAATAGTTCTAGGACATGGTGTTCTCTCTCCTCCACTGTGTATAGGTAAATAAATAATCTGTGACTGACATGGGAATATCTGGGAAGGGGAGAACTGGGTTCACTCGAGTGAGATGAGGGGACAGTGGCCTCTGGGGAGTGTCTGCATCCCTGTAGAAAGTTGCTTTCTTCTCAGTTTGTGCTGTGAATTTAGTGGAGAGGAGAGGCAACACTTCAGCATGTTAAATTTAAATAATACAGATTTACTTGTAGATGGTGCAAACTTTAAAAAAATAGTAATGCAACTGTATTGAGAATGCCGTTAACCCACAGACATAGTCTTTTTTCAAAGACAGGGTACCAGTTTAAGATATGTAGCCTGCTGTCTTTTAAATTCACCTGGGCAAACCTCTGAGGATTAAAAATTTCATGGTGCTTGTTTAGCACACTCTAGAGATGTACGTGAAAGCAGGTAGAGGTTGCAGAATGAACACGTGTTGGCTGAGACACACTTGAGCATGTTTTGTGGTTTGTTTTTGTCTGTCTTGGAAGGGAGGAGTGATGAGGAGATAAGAAATCAAAGTGTAAACACATTTCTTTAAGTGTGTTCCTGTATAGGAACAGGAGCACTTTTGGCTTGTTTAAACCGTTTGTGTCCCTACTCTATCCCCACAGTTTTACCAATACAACTGTTTTAACATAACATTGGACCAGCTAGGGAACTAATCAGTGTAAGACTATCCTACTTAGAGGGTTCTTTAATCTCTATCAGTTCTCAAATCCAGTTCACCTTATAGATATTGGTACTGAAGGAGCAGCATGGGGATGGGAACAGCTGGCTCAGGGAGGTTGGGGCAGGCTTAGCTGGCACACCTCTTAAGGGACCTTCACTGCAAACATAGGCATATTAGTCTTTGGGTGCGATTTCACTAAAGTTTAAACTAACTTTTTCAGCACTGCAGCTGAAAGTGTATCCATTTTGATTGGAGGGACAAGGTGTGGCAGTTTGTCAAGCTGCAGTATTTCAGTCACATTCAACTGTGTGCCTGTCCCTCAGCTCCAGCCTAGCCATGCCGGGAGGAGGGATGGAGAAGGCTCTGTTGAGCCATTCACCTGCCTCCTCTACAAGTTTCTCAGCTCCCAGCTGCACTGATGTGCAAGTTGTGGCGACTGGGACTTGTGTCTTCTCACATTCAATTTATAAATGACGTAAAGCTCTGTTAGATAAGTGAGGTGGGATGTAGGAAAAAAAAAATCCACCCCCCCAATGTAGTTCAGCTATCACCCTGAAAAGCCAGAAAGATTCTTGTTGGCTGTGCTTTGTTAATGACCATGTTTATGGCATTCCATAGCATCTGAGAAGGAAAACTCATTGTCCATGATCAGACAGAGAACTGAGTAGAGGCTGGAAGAAGGTGAGAGGGAGAGAGAGAATATGGGAGCTTTTCCATACACAGATTAAGTCAACTTTTAAATGTATAAGATCAAGTCCTTGCAAACAAGCTCAAAGCTGGCTTGTTCTTAAGAAAATGTATGGAACGGGATAAAGCACAGTGAACAATGTCAGGCTCATCAGTAAGTCAAAGGTATATAAAGCTCACGTGCTTTTTAAATTAGATTTAGATTTAAATCTTTAGATTTAAAAAATGAACTTATAATAATATGAACAGACTATCTTGCTTTAGACAATTTTTAATGTATGCAGATATCATGGTAGCAATGTGCAATCACACTGATTGATTCAACTTTAAGTTCATTGCAGTCCTTCAGCAGAAAGCCCGGAAGACTGAAAAAAGATTGTAGGATATATTGCTCCAAGTCTATAGCCATCGACATCAAATAACTACGCTATTTTTAAAAATAACAGAAATAATTCTGGATGAGTATAACGTACCTACTTTAGGCATGAGGAAAATACTACATTATTATCAAAAAATCACTAGTATTTGTAAGTTAAAATGTTTCATCTTCGTTATGTTTCTTACATCATGTTCTGCATCTTCAAACACAATTACAAAGCTTTATTGTCATAGTAAAGCCTAACAGCAATTGAATTTGATTGACATAGTAATCAGCCTTTCTTCTTCCAAAATTGGAAGCCCTCTTTCTTCAAAGATGGTTGAATCTCAGAAGTTTAAGTGTGCTTCCATTACAGTGTTGTGTATTGAACATGGAAGCAAGCTTTTCCATGATGGTTTTTGCTTTCATTACAGATGTTTTTTGAGATAGAGAGGTAAAAAGGGGTGGAGATGGAAACTGGATGGGGGTGTTAGTCCAGTTCCCAAATGACAGGAGGAGCTCAAGTGTTTTGCCAGATCACTTTTTCAACGTTATGAAACCTTAGTCATATTCCAAAGGTGAAAGTGTAATTTGAGGACCAAGTTGTTGGTATTCACCGTATAAATATGTCTAGCAAGTGTACCATAAGCCCAAACTGGGGTATGGGTGTGCTTGTCTGTTAGCTGGTAAGGTATATTTATCCTCCCTTGCTTACCTAGCTCCATGGATGATTACAAAGAGGTCATTAGTCTAAAATACTGCATTGCATCTTTTTTGCTCTCTGTTGCCCTTGGATCAGGGTCAGAGACAAAACTTTGCACTTCTGTGAGTACTGCAGCGGTTTCTGAGCCAGCTGCCTGATTGAGCTACAAAAAGTGGAGAGAGAGAGAGAGACAGTAGTCTTGTCTCTTCAGTCTTAATGCTGACTGTCCTAAATACATGTGCTTTATTCATCACATGGTGAATCCCAAGAAATTTTATTCCATGAGAACAGGTCTGTGGCAGTCTTTTGAAACATGCCATAGCTGCTTATATGAGCCTCAGAAATGTGGGATAGCAGGCAATCCTTAAAACTGTATAAGCATAAAGTTGGAAAAAAAAATGCTTCTTTAGAAATTGGCTCTAAGATCTCCTCTTAAAAACTTGTGGGCATAGATCTTTGATTTCCAATCAAGGTGAGAGGCTCACTAAAACTCAGTAGGGGTAGTAAGTCACATTAGTCCTCAGAGCACATTTCCAACAGTTTAAATTACCTGAACATTTCTTTTTTATTACAGATGATTCTTGATCTCTCTGTTTGTACTTCCGTGGATTTCAATCATAATGTAATATGAATTGATTTCTGTCCCTGAGAGCTAATGACAGACCCAGTTTCTTTGAAATGCCTAAATTGGTTATACTGTGTATCTCATGAAAAGCCAAAGGATAAAGCTAGCACCTATATAGGGAAGTCAAAACCAAATCTCTTTGTTGGCTTCCTGGTGATTTAAAATCCACTGAAATGGTTAAGATATTTGAATAAGTGTACTAAATCATCAAAAAACTGTGTGATCCTACACGTTCAATTTTATGTTCTCCAGATTCAGGACTATTGCAAGTAAGACCTTGTTCCCAAGTGGAGGCTAAGCAGATTGATGCAAGATTGCTGGGTGTTCCTTCTCTATTTACCCTCGTCCCCATTCTGCTCAGCACCTGGGGGCTCAGGATCTTAGAAACTGCTGACTAACATATGACTATTACTGAAAAGCATTTATCTGAGCAGAGCAAGTGAAAATAGAAGTCAGATTCTCTCTAGCAACTGTACTTTTTTTTTTTAAAGATTAAGTGACATTGATTTTGTTCTGCATTACATTGTTGGACAAGTTTGTGTGTGCTGATGTTTGGTCTTGTCAATGGAAGTATTTTGGAAGTCATTTCCTTAGCATCATGTCTTTTTCTTCTTCTCAGCCTGCTCTCGAGCAGGGCTGTAAGCACAGGCATCCCCCAGCTGGCATTCTTTTCCATCCTCCACATCCCCCTTGCTATAGTCATGCTTCGCCTGTGCCTTTTGACTCGTAGACCACTATATGTTCTCTCTGAATCTGTTTGTCTTTGCTGTTTGACTGTCTTCAGTCTGTGAACTCTTCAGAACTGAGAAGTGTGTAATGTATTAGATTATATATTATGCAATCCATATGTTCTGATTTAAATAGAGTTACTCTGGCTTAAGATGGCACAGATGAGTGTAAGATGTGGTCTTTGGGTCTTAGTGTGTGAATGAAGTCCAAATCAAGCAATAAAAGATTCAAAGCATTCGTCTTGTTTTAAACATACTTTTAAACCAATAGCGCATGCAAGGTATTGTAGCAGAGCACAGGTTGAATCCATTTTGATTACTAGGTAGTAGGAATTGCATTGACAGATGTTTTTCCTGATAATTCACATGATCATTTTGCAAGGTAAGTATTAGTTGCTAAAGGGACAACAAACTTCTGCTTTCCTTAATGTACTAATCATTGTTAGTGTGTTAATAACATGCAATTTCTAGACTTGCCTTTAACAGCTCTGCAAAGCGCATCGTGCCAGTTGTCACAATATGGATACCATGCTCTGATGTGCGTAATAGCCAGAAATGTTAGTGCCACTCCAGTGTAACTACATGGTCTCATTGTTATTGTTCCAGGTTTATTCCGATTTATAGGGGACCAAGTCATACGTACAAGATACAAAGGCTGACAGAATCCACTTGTTACTCGTTCAGAATACAGGCAGTCAATGATGCTGGGGAGGGACCTTTCTCCGAAATATGTACCTTCTGCACAACTAAGTCAGTCCCACCTGCAATCAAAGGTATGCAATAAGTTTTTTACATATATGTAAGTAACATGTAATTATTTAAGTAATTGGTAAGTGTGCAGTGAGTTTGTAAGGGTTAACATAAGTATGCAATAACACGTGAAAAATCAGTTTGTGCTGCTTGTATATTTCTGTGAATTGTGAAGTTACATCATGGTGGAAAGCTAAGTTATCACCAAAAAAATTCATATAAACAATATAAATGTTAAACCCACCACTACTGTTACACATAAACTGTTAAAATGCTGCCGCTGACAATAATGATTAGCAGGGGATTGCCCTGGATTGCCACAGCACTTCTATAAGGGGTGTAACAGCTGTAGTATATATGTGTACATACGAACTTAAGCATTAGTAAAGCTTAATATTGTTTTTTAGTTGTGTAGGTGATGTTCAGTGTAGCACTTCAGAATTTATTTCTCCTTTAATCTATAAAATTAATTATGATATTTTACATACATGAAGCATTAGATTTAGACCTCGCTTGGCATGTGTTCTACTAGAAGACCAAAAGACCTAATTAAATGAAGTTTTATAATTAAACATCATCTACTGTGTCTAAATTTTGACCTAAGTAATTTTACTCCTTCTTTCCAAGGAGAACTATTACAAAGGCATTGGATTCACTATATCGGTTGTCAGATAAACTGAGCTGAAATCAGATGCACCTTTTTTTCCTCTGTGTTTAAAACTCCTTTGTCAAGCAGTACAATTTGCTGTGGGAAACAGCAACTGTTAGTTTGTCAGAGAGGTTTCATTTGCTCCGCTATATTTAAAATCTGGCTTTGGTGATTTTGACACCATTCATAATCAAAGATTTAGAGAGGGGAGAACACTGCTGGGTTGTAATTTCACTGGTCCCTAGGTTAGCTGCTCTGAATCACCCCCAGGAAGAGCAACACTCTCGAGTGCAGGGAGAACACTGGGAGACTGGCTTCACTGCACTAAAATCAGTGTCTGCGAGAATCCCACCCTCATTTCTAACTGGATATCCCCTGGGTTTTGGTGTTTGCTTCAGTGCTGTCCCTGGAAGAAGATATCTGTATGCATTTGGTGTAAAGTTCGAGAGTAAATACACTTCCCAACAGTGAATGATCCTGATTCACTGTATTACGGAGTTGTAAAATATGCTACCCAGCAAAGCGAAGGGAGTTCATGCTAGATGAACCAAGCTGGCATAGGCGATGGTAGCGGGGAGGGTATACTTCACAGCTTGAGCACCTGCAAGTTGTCGGAGTGCCTGGGCGCAGGCGCGTGTCGTTGCCGATGCTGGGTCTGTGTTGTCCTTCCTTCTCTTAGCTGCACTAAGTGGATAAAACTAGCACAGGGATGCAGGCGTGCACTGTAGTCACATTTTTATTTTGTTGCACAGAAATCCATTTTATTAAATTCAGATCTCACCTAGGCTTTTGTTTTGAACTCCCTGCTTGGCTGTTTAGTTCCTGTTAAACATGACTCATACCCTCAACTGAATATCAAGCAGTTAAGATACGGTACAAATACCGGGTTGTGTGTGGGCTGGGACCACAGGTACATAGCAAAACACTGGCTGTAACAGCGAAAAGGGCACAACAAAAACTGCGTTAGTGAACACTACTGGGGGGGGGGGGAAATGCTATAGGGAAAAGGGATCTGTTGAGGCAAAATGATAGTGTTGATTCCCTTTGGTGTTCAGAGCAATACGAAGGAATGTATGTGGTAAACTTAGTACAGTTTTTCATGTATCAGAAGCGTGTGTTTATTCTCCCATAAAGTATTCTAATTACTCACTTGGTGATGCCAACCTGACACAACCCTAAAATAGCATTATTGTTAATAGCAGTGTTTTGTAAGTGTCAGACAAAAATCTACGTGTATCGGGATGAGGGATGGAAGGAGGAGGGAAAATAATTGAGAATATTTTTGTCGGCTGGGATGAAGGCGTCTATTATCAGTCTTTCAACACTGGCAGATGTGCAGAGAGAAGCAAATGGATATTGATTACATTTGGGTCCGCGTATGGTTCATGTGTTCCTCTTGGGTGGTAACAAATTAGTCTAAAATTCATGTAATGTATGCAGCAGCAGCAGCATTTGTTTCCTTGATAAACTCTCCTGTTGTCTGTTTTCATAGGGTTGGGACTCTAGATTACCTTTAACAAGCTCATGTCTTTGCACGTGCACATATTAACCACTTAGTAAAGTGTTCAGCGCCGTTGTTTCTCCCAGTTTCATTTTTTTGGTCCTGTGCTTGCTTGCTCTGCCTGATGAAGAGGTTGGTGGACCCTGGGTGCTGTCGCAGTTGTTTTGATGCCTTCCAGTGGGAGTTGTACATATAAACATGCTGCCGCTGTTAGTACTCTGCTCAGCTCACCTGAAGGCTTGCTATTAGGCATGATACAGTGTCTTTTGGCTTTCAACTGGTGAGAGATCCTCTCTCAAGGATGGCATGATTGTAACAACTGACAAATTGAATTTCTCTAGAGTTCTAGTGAAAGCACTAGTCTAAGCCTGGCTAGAAATAGCAGGTCTGATTATCTGAATGTCAGGCTCAGAATTAGACACGAGTCCAGGTCTTTAAAATTATGCTTGTACTTTTGCTTCCCAGGCTGGACTTCATCTCTAATACAGAAGATTATTTAGTTTCCCTTCTCACATTCCTTCTCCTGTTTTTCTTGAATGAAATGTTTGATATTATTCCTCTCTTCCAATGACATGTGGCATGGGAGGAATATGCAGGCGTCTCCACAGGCACAGGTGTTTGCTGAGAACTTCAGGAAATTGCTGCTTTTATTAATGCCAGTGTAATTCATGCATTGGGTTCTGCTTTGAAAAGATCAGTGCACAGCATTGCAATTGCATTTTAAAAGTTCAAAGTTCTCCATCACATCCACTCCACCTTTCTAGTGGCTCACACAGCTGACAGCTGAAAGATGCTCTAACAGCTTACTGTCCTTCTGCAGAAGTGATCTGGGTCCTACAGTAAACTTCTTAGGAGCTTGTTAATCAGCTTGAAATTTCACCCAGTTTTCTGTGAATCGTGTTTGTTGTTTAATACCACCAGAATCCTGAACTGCTTAACCAGGCAAGACTGTCCGGAAATAAAGGAGACTTTTGAGCGACTTAGAAGTTTTACTTCTTTCAAACAGTGGTGTTGGCAATTGGCTTTTTTTGACCACAAAAATACAGTACAGATTATGTGCTACTAGCCTCTGTGATGTCCCAAACGTCTCTTTTTAAAATATTTTCTTATGTATTACAGTGCACGTAACATGAATAAGATTTCAATGCAGTCTTTATAGTAAATGTTAACGCATTTTGTTTTACTGTAGCCCCTCGAGTGACACAGTTGGGAGGAAACGCCTGTGAAATTACCTGGGAAGTGGTCCCACCCATGAAGGGAGATCCTGTTGGTTATGTTCTGCAGGTACTGGTTGGAAGAGAATCTGAATACAAGCAGGTAGGAAGATGGTCTTGTTTTAATATTGCTAAATTGATGACTAAATAAATGGAAATGTTTTTGAACATTCACTGTGCTGCTTCTTTCTACTGTATTGAATTACACCCTATGGTGATGTGTCAGGTGAACTTTGGTAAAGGCTGAGTCAAAATTAAGGACTGTAATAGGTTGTTTTCTCCCCTGAGGGAGTATATAGAACGTCGTTATCTTATTGGAGTGATTTGCGCTCTGTCCATAGTTAATCACTATTTCTAACTGAACTAACCTTTGAAAAGTTACAATTCTATCCACCCATGCTTTCTTCTGAACTGGCTGGTGCTAACCGTTGCCTGAAGATGAGAAGGTGAAGTAGGTAGATCATCTTCCTTGTTCACTAAGCCAATTCCAAGACCCTCCATTGAGGATTTCGGTCAAGTACACAACTTTTGACTGGTTTGTTCAGCCATTCCATTCCTGTCTGAGATCTTGATGCATGGATGTGTAACTGCTGTATATCAGCTGCCCCACAGAAAACTGTGTCCTTTCTTGCGCTGCGGAAGCAACGTGAATGAAGTACAGCTGATCCTTCTTTCCTTGTCTGTCTTGATTAGAGATCACAAGTGGACATTTGCCCAGAGCACCTGGAACAGAGCAACTAATTCACAGCTAGATCTTTTATTTCATCTGTCACACCTCTGACTGTGTGATTTACAGTGCACTTCATCTGTGCCCTGTCTTCTCCCTGTCCTTTCTTTCATTGTCATATGGATTCCAAATAAGTCCAAATTAGGGAACGAGATATGTTAAATCTTAAATTAAACTCTGGAAAATATGAATAAGGTAGTACTTTATTTGCAACTGTGTCTTTGCTCCTCTTCAGTCTATTTTTGAGTGTTACTGTGAACTAATGAATTTTCAAAAATAACATAGATAAATGCAAGAGAATTCATGTGGGTGCTAAAGATTCGGAAACCTAACTATTGTTTTTGTTGGGAAGCATTCTTGGTGCTGGTATAGGTAATAAAATCTCTGTGTACTGGGTTGGCCTCATAATGTCAGTGGTAAGTGGATAAGTGCACCCAATTTGCTGTTGCCTGATTTACAAAGTAGCCTTGACATACAACCTCCACATACAGCTTTGGTAAGCATAGCTTCAGTGTTTAAGATGTTCTAGATGTCCTTGGGGAGAACTAGGCATGGCTTCATGTTCCTTGAAGGTAGATGGTGGCTTAATCTTTGCAGTCAAGAAGTTGTGGCATGAAAAAACTCAGCAATAAAGGAAATAAAAAGTATGCATTATATTGAAGATCTTCATTTCTCATGAAGCACGACCCTGATGAGGGGTGTTTTGCTTCAGTTTTTACAACTCACTAGAAGCCGCTCCCAGCTGGGATGCTTAAAGCTGACACTGTGACCTTTATAGTTGGGCTGGCTGATAACTGACCATGGAAGAGAGGGAGAGTTCCACTGTTTAACCTTCTCAGAAATCAGTTTCGCCCATCAAAATTATTTATCTTCATCTGAAATGTGGGTGTTGTCTCAGCACTGGGGCACATCACTGACTTCGTTGTCCATTAGCTGAGCTGCAGTGGCTATGTGCATGCTCCTAGCTCCTATTATGTAAATAGGAGATAAAATACATAAACGTCTTTCAGTGATTTTCTGGCTAATGCATTTCACTTTACCTTTACTGTGGCATGCGTGTGGTCACTTGCTACTATTTAACTGAAAAGTTATGTTAGTGATATGTTAACTACGTTTGAAGTGCAAGTCCTAAATTTACCTTTAAATCAGTTTTGTTCCCTGCTATTGACATAAATATTTTGCATATGCATCTCAAGATGCACATTATATTAGAAAAGTTTTGCAAATTGTTTTGAAGGGTTGCACAAATGAAAAATATTGTAGATTTTCAGGCTATTAAATACACCCATGAGAAAGAACAGTGTCTTAAGTGGTGACTGGAGTTTCTATAGCAGTCACCAGTGTGTTTTGCAGCTCCAGGGATAGCATAGGGATAAGAAGGAGATAAATAGCTGCATGAAGTAATGTTTTTATGTCCCACTGGCATGGAAATAAATGCAACAAATAGCTATTTCAAGCTACTTATGGGCTGTGCAGGACTTCACGTGTAGGGTCACTCATCCTCAAACCCTTTCCCCATCACTCACCCTCCAGGACACAACTGTCTGTGTTCTGCGACATAGAATCATAGAATATCTCAAGCTGGAGGGGACCCATAAGGATGACATGTTTTACACCACCCCAAACGCAGGTGAGTTTTGTAGAATACAAATCCACTTTTAAAATCACCTTAAAACTGAAACCTTTCAACTAATGAACATATAAAACTGTTTCTCTGTTACAAGGCTGTAATCCTGTCAGTAGTCAGATCACTTTATTTGCAGCAATTTGAAGGCAACTATTTAAGGCAAGACATTAAACCGTTTTAACTAGGAAGACATGTTACAAAGCCATGGAGCCGTATCTCTGTCTACCCCAAGTTGATTTACTTCAGATGAATACAGCTGATAGGTGACCAAAATCAGTTTCCTCATTTTATCTTAAAGCCTAATTCTTGCTACCAGTGTTTAAATGAGTAAAAGCTTATGAGTCTAAGTTCGTGTGTAGGTATATACTGGAGCAGAACAAACCAATTAAAGGGTAAAGCATTTACTAAGCATCACCATCTGTAGAAGTGAGTATGCATGGCAGAAGTCAAGATGATGATGCATGTTAAGGGAATGGGAGAATGTTTGATATATGTCTGTTTCTCCCCCAGGAAATTTTACAAAGATACTTTTATTCTGACAGACTTACTAGGAAGATGATAGTATGACTTTTGTGATACTGGCTTAGCATTCGTACTCTGTTATATTTTTTTAAACTGATGTGATGGTGTTTTATTGACAAGAATGTTGTTTGCTCTACATAGTAGATTTTAGTCTTTTCATCTGAATAAAAGCTTGGAAAAGGAACATCCTAGCATCGTGAAAACTGAGTTAGAGCTTTTTTATGATGATTGTGCTTGAGTTTTTTCAAAGCATGGCTATATCCTGTGACTATTTGGGGAATAGTTGTACGCACGGAGTGGCACAGTGTCGAGCACAGTCTTCCTAGATTTGGTAAGAAAGCTCACGGAAATCCTTACTCAGGCTGCACAAATGTGACACTCAATTCCTATTTCTGGGAAAATTTTTACGTTACAGGTCTTGATCCAGCTCTTTGCTAGGAAGCCCTTCAGAAGGTGCAGAATGCAATGTTCTCACATATTAATTTCATTAACAGAAGGAAAAATCCACCTGGGCACTTTGTGCTGACTAAGCATAAAGTTGTCTGCTTCAGTTTATTCTGGCACAGAGTTGGGTGCACACAGAAATAAGTGGCCATGTTTCACTTCCCTTATTCACACAGCATAGCTCTTTAGTATGCGGCACTGGTGTTTCTGCAACTGCCTGTGGACCAGTATGAAGTAGGGCATCATAACACCTGTCTAGTGTGTTTTGTATTGAAAGTGAATAAATACAGAAAAGCCATTGTGAAATAAAACATTAGCAGAAGAAAACGAAGTCTTATTGCCATCTGTTAACTCTCAAAGTTTGAGCTCCCTATTAATCAATTGCTGTGTATGCCATCCTAGTGATGAAGCTCTCAAGAGATGTGAGAACACCTAGGAGCAGACCTCCGGTCTGTACTCGCACCTCACTTGTGTTGTAGAATCAAATTCAAGTTACAGAAAATAATCATCTTCATTAATTTATAAAATAAGCTGAATCACTTTAGCATTTCCTTCCCCTACTGCAACATTAGCCCCTGACATGCTTTTGGGTAAAGCTATAGTTTTTCTCTAGATCATCACACCTGAACTGTCTCCCTCCCCCTGTAGTAGCCCTCCGTGTCCCAAAAGCCACTGCTTTTCCACCAGTTGACCTAGCAGAGGTGGTATCAAAGTACCCAAAAGCCCTTTTTTTCAGACTGGGGCTACTGCCATCCCTGACCTCCTCTGCGAGAACACACTGTAGATATTCCTCTGCTGAGAATTGTCTGAAGAACTGGATTTGCAGGAACTAAACAGATAACAATTTAACTCCCTAAAAAGTGTGTTTAAAAAAATATAAGATACTCCCTTTCCTGTTTCTCAAGCGATGTCTTCCTTTTTGTGTATTCGTATGCCTTATCTATTTGGATACTTCAAAAAAGCAATGGCATATAACAATTCTTTTTAGGAAATCCTTGTTTACAAATCGGGATGTACATCATGGCAGATTCTAGGAATTGGTGGCCCAGATTTGTTTTTCTGTTTCTTGCATTTTGACCTAGCAAAACTTACTCTGTCAGAACTTAGCTTTAAAGCGTGTTAAAATCGTCTCCAGCTTTTGCATGGTTTTAATCTGGGGTTAGGGGAGCAGGCTGCACTGCGCAGCGCTAGCAGGAGCTGAAGCTTGGGATAACGCTGGTAACGCTCAGCAGCCTAAGTTTTCGTTTCTCAGTTGAGCAGCCCTGAGGATCAAATCACCAAGGAGCCAGCTCTTCATAAGAGCCAATCGTGGGAGATTAGAGCTGAGCTTTAAAGCTTCTTTATTCTTAAATTGTTTGCCAGTGAGGCAAAATGTTCTACCTTTGAAATTTTTGAGAATTTGGAGGCAGTGGGGTGTCATCAGCTTCTGCCAGATCTCTTCTGGGAGAAAACTGTCTCCAAATGCTTTCCAAAAGAAGAAAAGATATGGGTAGGATACGCTGGGTGTGTAAAAATCCCTCAGCAATGCAGTGGGAAGCCTGCTCAGGTCTGCACCGAGAGGGGGAACGCCTGGGAGAACCTGGTTGGTCTTACCAAGCTCTAATTTTTATTGTTGTTTTTTTTTTGTTTCAGACTCTGTAGACACACAGTCCCTGAAACTCATTCAGTGCACTGTGAACTTGTGTAAAGCTCTAATCAGCAAAAAATTGGTTTTCCTTCTCTATTTTAAATAGCAAGTCAAAGGCACTTGTGCTGGTTGCATGCCGAAGTACAACGTAATTGTACAGTACACATTGGCACTTCTTACTAGCGCTACTTCCATTGAGTATTTTCTCTGCCTCCTGATGCCAATTTTGTGTCATGAGATCGAGCAAATAATTTCCTTTCTTTAGAGTTTTTCAGTGCAGCCCACCTCGTAGAAGGTGATCGGAGGGACTCGTTTGCTTTGTTTAGGAGACAAGGCTGTCCACACAGCTCTTACGGGTTTATGAGCATGTGAGCAAAGCTGATTTGGAGTTGGGATGAAATAATAAGCCAGTTTCTTACAGAAATCTGTCAGATGAGTTAGAAGAAATTAAACCTTTCAAGTGGGCGTGCTCTCTAAATAGATTGAAACCTGCCTCTGATTCTTGATCTTCTTATCACCATACAAAATAGGCTTTTATTGATTATTAAATACACTGCTCATTGCAATGGAGTGCAACAACCAGGCAAGGTTATCTTACATTTTCCAGTGTGTTGCTTGTAGGGCAATTGTGGCTCTCATTTTTATTATTTGGAAAAGATGGAGGGGAGTTGGAATTATTTAATGACATCGGTGAAATTGAGAAATACTTGCCTACAGGAATTCTCTGAGCTGTCAAGCTTGATCGGTAGGATCAAATGCCATACGAGGCTTCAGCATCCGTTTATTTGTGATGATATTTTCATTGAGGGAGCCAGGCAAAAAGCTCATAATATTTTTATTATATTCTCAGGTGCCTAAACAGAAAAGCTGTTTTTAGGAACTGAAAGCGATAAATTGGATAGCTGCTTTGCTTTGACTTGTTGACCACCAAAGCATAATGTGCTACATGTAAAAAAAAAAAAAGCATGCTGCTTTATACAGTTATATTTGGTTTCATATTTGTTTAGCAAATTTAAAGACCGTATACATAATTGTCAGTTTTTTTCCTCTGTTGTGTATATGAAGTCCATTCACAGAGTGGAGCTGTGTTCACAACCAGGCATGTATCTTTGTGCTGAGGGCATCCTGCGTTGGCTGAGCCTGGTCCTACAGACAATACTGCAGGCAAAACTGAGCTGCAGCCAGTAGTTCTCCAATGTGCTCGCCGCAGCCAGTTGTGGAGGATACAGAGGCTACTGTGAGAAGTGAATGACAATTAAGGACAATAATTTTTTACCTGTTACTGAGAAAGGGCATAGGTCCACTGGTGCTAAATACTCATCAAACCACTGAAAGCAGGACAATTTCCACCACCTTCCTAGTTCTAGTGCAAGAAATGTTTTGTCTTTTCATCAGTGAATGTTAATTCATGTATTCAGCATACTTTCGACTATTTTTCAAAGTTTCTTTGAAGATGTGCTCTTTTCTCACTTGACTATCTGGACTTTTTCTGAGAAGTGCTTTTGACTAGCTGGCTTGAGTGAACTTGGTCATCTGTATTTATTAGACTGGAATGAAGATAGAGGTCTTTGATTTAGCCAAACTTAGCCTCCAGTTACACTGGTATTCACCACCCTGACAGAACAAAACAAGTAAAAAAACAATTAACTGGACAGGTTTTTTCAATGCAAAGACAGGTTGTATATATCCCATCCTTGTTATCTGTTAAATGTAATTTATGAAGATTAGATTGTGACATTTTTATTAAATGTCATGATTTGGATTTTACTGGATTTTTGTTTGTTTTAGAAGCAGTCATATTGGTTGCGAAGGCTTATTTATGGCAAAGGCATGTTGAGCTCCTCTGATTATATGTTTTGAAATTAAATTAATAACTAGAACAGCACCGGAAAACATTCCTTGTTTACAGTTGTTTTGTAAGGATAGATGCTTGGAGTTACCATGTCTCAGAGTTTAAAGAAATGGGAGTTAGGTAAGTCTTCCAAGTAGAAGGATCTTGACTCTGGTCCTTGTGGAAGAACACATCCTTTTCTAATTACTCACTGAACCTACATTTACATGCCAAACGCATGCAACTTTTCTTTGCATGATCATTTATATTTGGGAGTAAACTGAAGTATTAACCTCCTACAAGATGCAGCATTGATGATGGGAGTAACTGGAGGACAGTTGCCCACAACAGGTGGGTGTTAGAAATGGAATTGCCATTGGAAAATAGAGTGGCAGAGATGTTGTTGGGATGAGGTATGCTTTGCAAACAAATGTTTCAACCTTCACGTTATTTCTACGGACCGCTACAGCACTTGCAGTTTTGTTTGCCCTGCAGTTACTGAATTACTGTAACTTAATGACTCACTTCTCATTGGCGTTGGGAAGACAAGCAAAGACGACAAAAAGGCAACAGCGTATAGCTGTAGTTAATCGCAGAGATTTACAGTATGAATTTGTTGTAGTCCTGTCACTTGAGGAGAGTGAACTCCCGGTGAATACTGAGCATACTTGAAGAAGGTAACGTAATTTTATTTAAACATTGCTTCTTGATTTATGCCTTGGGGCCAAGAAACATGAGCCAGTTAGAGGACTTCTACTTAGTCTGGAAACTCAGTCTCGCCATCATTCAAGCTATATTTGGAAAAACTGTGAAAGTTTAAAAGGAGGGGAGAGAACAAATGAATGAAAAACCTTAATCTTTTGTCCTAGACCACCTCAGGAAATCAGCATCTGGCTTTTAACCAAGGGACGAGTCTCAGGGGCAAGCATGGGCAGGAAAGCTGGACTCTTTAAGTGATGTTTAGCTGAGATGTCTCTTCTTTTTCCTCCTGTATTTCTTACTCCACTGTAATGCACAGGAAGTCCTCTATTGGCTCAGGTTTAATTTCCTTCTTGTCACCCTTTTCTAAGTTGAGTTCTTACCTCCAGGAGGGCAGAGATGCTCTCAACCTTCTACTCCCGCAGTGAAGAGAAGGAAACCAGCTAAATGAGCAGAGGAAGAAGGATCTGAAGTTCAGAATGCTTTTTTTCCGGCAGACACAAGCACTTTGTGACACGTTTTTCATTTCATAACATAGCAGTTTCAACAACCCTCCGTTATATAAATTGTTGACTGGTTATTTGTTTTCAGAGTTCGGAAACGTTTCCAGTGGTCTTTTTCCATTTAAGACGCAAAACAGTCTCTTAGATATTCGGTTCTCTCTCTCTCCTTTCTCAGGTTGTGACTCATGCTCTCTGAGTCATGCGGTACCTACATTTCATGAACATAAATACGTGATGGGTTTGGATTGCTAAAGAACCGAATACATTGCAACCAAGAGGAGCTTTTTTTTAATACCTTAATAATATGTTATTGTTTCCACAATTCTGAAAGTGTAATTTCTGTCAAGACTGCTGACTTTTGGGGGACACGTGAGGGAAGTACATTAAAATAATATTTGTAACCAATTTTACAGTTATACAGTGAATGTTTTCCAATAACCTTAGTTTGCGGGTTTTCTTCCTTTTGGGGCCAAGCACAAAAAATGCTTATGTCTTAGACATATTTTAGGCATATCGTCACATTTTGAGAGTACAGAAATATGTTTATAATATTTATCACACCCACAAAAGATGAGTACGTCTTACGGTTGATATATTGTCTGAAGTCTTGTCTGTCCTTGTGTGCATTGACTCTGTTGAACACTGTATTGGAGACCTCTCATGATGGACATCCCTTACGTAGTCCTCTACATGCCTCTCTTTTTTTCCAAAACCTGCATTGACCTAGTGAGTTCCTGCCCTTAAGAGCTGCAGAAATGGTTCCTTAAGAGACTCACACTTGGCCTAACTTTCTGGCCCAGATCCTTGCAAAATCTAACGTTCCTACTTTTTCAAATTGTTTGATGCTATGAAAGGAGGAGGAGGAGGAGGTTGTCTTGCTCTTTGTGTTTGACTGTGCTTGCTGTTTTGTTTTGAAGGTCTACAAGGGAGAAGAGACCACCTTCCACATCTCAGGCCTTCAAGTCAACACAGACTATCGGTTTCGCGTCTGCGTTTGCCGCCGGTGCTTGGATACCTCACAGGAACTTAGTGGACCTTTCAGCCCATCCGTTGCCTTTATGCTTCAGCGAAATGAGATCATGCTTGCAGGAGAAATGGGAAGCATAGATGATCCTAAGATAAAGAGCATGATTCCTACTGATGAACAGTTTGCAGCCCTCATTGTTCTTGGCTTTGCAAGTTTGTCAATTATCTTCGCCTGTATATTACAATACTTCTTTATGAAGTAGAGAAACCAATGGAAGTTTGAGATACAAATTTAACTAATGCTACGCATTATAATCCACACATTTATTCAGATATTCCTTTTTTTGAAATCCTTTTGTTCTACCATACATTTTATATGCTTCTTTTGTTTTTACAGTTCTAGCTTGAAGAAAGATAAATCAGTGTTTTGATGCACCTTTTTGAAATTCAAAACTAGGAAGTGGTCAAACTGGAGAAACAAGCAAACCAGATACCAAAAGCAAGATTATTTTTTTTCCTGCACAATTTCAAAATTGTCACCAATTTGCCTTTTCAACATTGTTTTTTCTTTTTTTTTTTCCACTGACGTTCGTACAGTCTCTTATTTTATCTTACTATTTAGGAAATTTTAATAATGAATCACTTTTTGTCTCTTTTTTTTTCCTTCTGAACATTAGTCACAAGTGTTTATAGTGGTAAGACTAGAATACAGTGTTAGTCAACAGTACCAGGTTTTCCTTGAACAGTATTAGCAATGTTGCCTATGAATTATTCACTACATTTGCCCCATTTTTTTCAAGATAAAAGGTAAGTTGTTATTTTAACTGTTTATTTCATTTAAATCAGAACGATATCCTGCAGTCGAGAAACCTTTTTAATTATCTGTTATTTTTACAGTTACAACACTATAAACTGCCTGTGTAAGAAATCAAATAACCAAACTGCATATAAATTACAAAGCATTACAGGTTTTTTTACCTTTTTGATTCCTAGCGGTAATTTTAAGTAAGAGGGCATTGTGCAATAGTTAGTTATTCCCATGTTCAGCTGTTTAAAAGCTGCTTTAACTTGTCTGTTTGTCACTGTATATAACTATTCCTAATCTAATGCTAGATATTATTCTATTATGTTCAGTCTGATTTATATGATTAGAGCTGGTGACAGCTTACTGCCTCCTACTGAATTAGGTGAGATTTACACTCAATGTAAGCAAACTTTACTGTCAGTTGATCTTTTTTTATTATGGTTATTGTTATTATTTTTTGGAGGGGTGTCCATTTTATGGAACCTTCTTGGGGAGGTATCAGAAATTCGATCTGGTTATTTTAAATACCTTAAATGGGTGTCTACGCTATTCTTACCACAGGGCTAACTGAAATGACTTGGTACATGACAAAACTTAGACGAGAGTCCTGCAGAGGAATAGTCCCTGCTCTGATGGGAGTTTCCCCCCCCTCCTGCCTCTACCCCTTCCCAGACACGCATTTTAATCCATCAAGATACTAGATTTTGAACTCTTGAGTCATTGGGTTATTTATGTTAAGTCAACATTGTGCGAGTACCTCAGGGACATAAATGAGCTGGAGGTGCAAATAGATTCCAAAAGGGTGCAACAGACACAGTGTATTTCCCTGCCTCTTGTTTTTGTATATTTTTGCTACTTGGTTTTGCTTTTGTCCTAGCTATTTTGTGCTCTGTCTCCATTGTCTAAGATTCAGTGTCCTGTACTAGCATAATATTCCCTTAACCAAAGTAATGGGGAAAAAACAACATTATTTTTGTTTTAGGTTTATTTATACTATATACTGCATACAGTACTTTAAATACCAATTACAGTGCAATCTTTATTTATTGTAAAAAAAAAAATAAAAAATAAAAAGTGTACTTATGTACTAATCCCCCTTCCCACCCTCCCCGTAGCATGTTATATTTTGTCTGTTTTATACTGTTGTACTTTAGGTCAAGTTTTTACCTGGCAGCATTCCTAGTATTATTAATCTTCTTACATTTTCTTGTGTTTTTGAAGATGGGAGCATCTAGTACATTAAATGCCAAAAAAAAAAGCCCATTATCAGTGATTCAAACGTTTACATGTATCCAAAACCATAATCATCTCTGGAAAGAAAGTGCTAAGATCAATGAATTATTCTGTGTGCCTCTCTAGATGTAGCAAATATTAGAAATGTTCTGTATTTTGTTATTGACTATAATTAGTTTAATTTAGCCTTGCAAACTAATGGCATTGAGCTAAATATATATTTTTTTTGTTTTTGCCAAAGTCATGGCTTGTCAAATTTATTTACATCTTATTTAAATTTATTTGTGATATGAAACTTTGTGACCTTGCATCTGTATTTTGTGAGCAAAGCATATACAGCTGTTTTCAATG